CCATTGATAATTTGAAGGAAATTATGGAAAAACCCTCTTTAGTCAGGATGGAGCACTCCAGTGTTTTCTAATGTGGAAAGTTATTTTGTGAAACACTGAGATACTGGAGAACAGAATTTCTTAAATGTAAAACCAATGGGCTAACAGAGCAATAAAAGAAAAAAAGAAAAGAATTCCAGAGTATGAACTTAAGCAAACTTCTCTGTCCTTTGAAAGTTTTGTTAAAGATGAGAATTCTCTAACCATAGTTTCAGTGTGGGAATTCTGAAGCCACAAAGCAGTGATAAATGTTGTAGGTGTCACTTCTGTACTATTCACGTAGGTTGTAATTTATTGTCCCCAAAGCTTGTAGATAATTTCCCACTTCTTGAAATGTCTTGACTGTTGACTCTAATGCCAGGGATGCTTGGACAGATAGGTTGTAAGAGCAAGACTTTGTAGTCACTTTGGGAGAATCTTTGAACTCTTTTAACATAATCACTATTGAGGTAAGTTATTTTCTTTAGGGTTAGGAAAGTGTTAAATGTAACTATCACAGTAGCTTGATTACCTACATATTCTTTTTTGAAATGTTGAATCCTATGTTCTGAAAGCTTAAGTCAGTTTATTTTTCAATAGATGATCCACCTTTTTTGATGTGTAGCTCTAATGAAAATGTAGTAGAGAACGAAATTCAGAATTTGTTGTTTATATGGGGGTTTTAATGTTGAGGATTTTTTAGGAGTTCTATTTTATATGATGGTCTAGAAAATTTTCAAACTACCTTTTTATACATATGTAACTAAAGAAAACTGCATGTGCATTTGTAGTCATTGTTACATGTGCTGTTGTTCTAATATGACAGTTCTTAAGCTACTGCCATAACAGGAGGCTGAGGTATGCATGACATACCTCAAGATTGGGCATCAAGATGTACTGAGAAGTAACCTGACTAGGATTCCAAGTGCATTTAATTATAGGGGAAGGGGCAAGAACTGTTGATGTAGAAGACAGCTGTCTGCAGTCCTTTCCTATCTAAAAGTTTCCTGTCTCTTAGTCCTCAGTCAGGTCTTGATTATTGTAGTTAATGGAAGTTTATCATGACTTTTGATCAGTGCATAGTGATCTAGTGAGATTTTAAGAAGCCATTATGGTTACAAGGCACTAGAAATTTGGGAATAGGAGAAAGAAGCTGACATATTTTTTATTGTAATGTTTTGAAGAAGTTTATAAATAAAAATGGTGAGAAATTATTGGTGAGAAATTTATACCAAGTTTCCTGTGCTAACACATGATTGTTCCTAATATATTAAGTAGGAGAAAAAGTATAAACTGTCCATCAATAAATAACCTTTTAGTAGTTTTATGATAATTATAAATGTCTTGTGCCAGATATGAGTGAAATAGACCAGAAATGTTCTAAATGAGATGTTGACTAATGAACCTTAATCCAATTCTCAAGAAACAGACCGTTCAGGTACATGTTCTGGACAACTTGTGACCATTGTCACCCTTTAATTCCTGAGCATATTCATACTGAGCATGAGCGAAAGCTGATTACAACTCATTTGATGATGCCAAACTTTAAATGCTAACATCTGTGTGAACTCTAGAAATTAAACTGATGTTGCTGGAGGTTAATCTTTTTGCACATATTTTCATCCTTTGACTTTATAGGAATATGATGCATTTGTTTGAATATAGGCATTCCTGGCACTAGATTCAGTTAGCACATGCATTCATGTTTGGGGTTTTTTATGTTACATTATGTAGGAACCACCACAAGTAATTCTGTATATGACATATGTGTAACAAGGTATTCCATCATGTCCAGGAGAATGGCCACACTTTTTCATAGCTACATTGCTTTTCAACAGTGGCAGCTACTGAAAGCACACATCGGACATTGAAAAAATGTCTTATTTGTAAGATCCTTCAAGTTCATATATGTCTAAGACATTTGCAAGACTAGCTGAAGTCTGGGACAAAACGTGATTGATAGCTTTCCTTTTGTATATAGTTTTTATCTGTAATCTCTAAAATACTAATTTCAGAGATTGAAGTGGTCTCAAGAGAGACTTCTGCAAATGCAGAGTGCATGCATTGTACTTCTATTCTCCTATGTTAAATTCATTTAATGTTATCTGTCCTAGTTCTGTTGAAATTCAAGACATATGGTTATTTGGAAAAAAAAAATGAGAGAAATCTTGTCCATACTCCTTGTTTCTTTCTGAGGCAGGTAATGTGCAATTCATTTAGACATATTATCGTATTAGTAGAAGGTATTGCACTACTATTGAAATATATGAATAGAATAATACAAGAAGAAAACAGTCATTACACCAGGCTGTGCAGTATTTATCTTGAAATGTACAGAGAGACTTCTCAAACAGAGGATTCTTCTTCAGCCATTCCCTCTGAAGCTTCAGTGACTCAACTGTGTTTGAAAGGTTAGATTTAGAAAAGGTGAGATTTCCTTTATATGAACCTGTGCAGTGAAGCGGGTATGCAACTCTCTTGTCTATCAGTATTTTAAACAATTTTTGGTATCTCTTATCTATGAAGACTTTTTCTTCTGGTTTATGAGAATCTCCGTGCTGTAGTGTGTGGTCATGGAGCTTCTGGAGACCTGCAACCAAGTACCTACATTAGCATTGTGAACTGTACACTTCTATATCATGTTTGAATTGTTTAATACCAGCAATTGATTAAATCGCACTGCAATGGGCCACTAAAGAAATTATATTCTTGATTTTAATGTTGCTGATATCCATAAAACGAAAGAGATTTTTGTCAGTCTCTGAAAAGCATAAGGTGACAATCTTGGTGGTAGTGGCATATTAATTTGTTTTACTAATTAGCGTACAGATATATTTCTCTTTGAGACCTCGATGGTATATATGGTATTTCTGGCATCTAATGTTTCCTGTAGATAAAGATGATCCGATCCAGTAGTTAAAGCTTATCTTAGTATATACTGAAATAGTGCTTATGTAAATGCTATAAATACTAATTGGTAAACAGTAATTTGCACAAATAGAGTTGCATGGAGTGCGTGAAGAAACAAGGTACCAAAATGGGTTAAGTGCTGATGTTGAATCAGCTAATGGTAAATCTGCTTTCTGAGAAAAAGCCTCAGAAAAGAAATACTGCACTGCAAAGCATTGTGTGTTATATTATTTCAGTGGTAAATTGATACTGCTAATAATTATTTTAGCACATTCTTCTAGTTTTGTATTTGTGTAGTATTAGTAATTGACGTGGATATTTGTTGATTGAGCTTGTAACCACAGGTCTTTATTTATTTGCAAACTATACTGCATGTTTCACCTGTCCATTATAGCTCTCAAGCTAGCTAGAATTCACACATTATCTGAAATTTAAGCTATTGGAGTCCTTAAATCTCTTTGTTCATGAACCTCGAATTAAATATAAACTGAGCTTTTTAAATTCTCTGAACTAGTTTTGCAGTAAAATGGTGGTCTTAAACGAGAGAGTTGGAATGAAGCAGCAATAATGATTAATTTAACAAGTTGATATTTAGAGTTTGTGGGGTTTGTTGTAGCTGCTTTTAACTGCAATAACACTAAAAATAGCTGAGATCAAATGGAAAGGATGCTTTTGAGCTAACCCAGAAAGAATTTGTGCTGTATTTTCACACTCAGCAGCTTTTTCATTATTGTTATAAATGTTTCATAGCTAATGATTTTTATGGGAGTCTTCAGGAAAAAAAAGTATGCTTTTTGTGTTTGTTTGTAACAATGAGCTTTGCTTTACTCTTTTAATAGTTCACTAAATAGCCTGTGTGTCTGGCATCCTGTTTAATGTGTCACTGTAACTTCCAAATGTCTACTGTTCACAAATAGAACAGAAAATAGGGTGACCCATAGTGTTTTAAAATGTTTCCAAATGAGTATGCTTAAGTAGAATTGATTGGAAATGTAACAGATATTGAAACATTTAGTAATCTTGCCACACCAACCTGTTTTAGGTTTTGACCAGAGAGTAAGTCTAAGTCTCATAATTTTTCCTTGAACAGAAGTAATGAGATTTTCAGTGGCAGTGCCTAACAGTGTGATGATGTATGAGAAGTTTTTCTGATAAAGCAAATGGAAGTTGTGCTTGTCAGAATTGCTGAGATATCTAGAGGAAAGTTATATAGGAGGATTTCTTGGAAACGTCTTTCACCAGAAGAAACTGCAAAAAATTAAATAACCTGGTGATTTTCCACTGACTTATTTTATCTGTGTTGTGTTAAACTGCAAAGCAATTAGCCTTTATGTACCCATCAGGATGTTTTGGGTCTTTTCCTAGAGTCATTAATTTGTATTGATGCTTTCCGTTTCCCAGTATTTTTACACTAAGGGGAGGGTAAGCTGATTGGTTAGCGATGTGACAGAGGAGGGCAGGGAGATACTTATCATGTCACTGAATGGCTCTGGCAGAAAAAAATGGAGTGACAGCAGCTTCAGGTCATTAAGCTTCCCATATAGCACTGTTGCTGAAACTGAAAACTTAAAATGCAAACTAGAAACAAACTACTGGCTTCAGTCTTGGTGAACTGATTTGTTCTGTCCGTGAATGATGGACTTAAATGCAAATAGAAGAACTTCTATCTCAGATGAACCCTTGTGTAAAGAAGGCAAAACATCTTCAGATAAAACCAGACTCAAAAGGTGATTTTCACATTAAAAAATATCCATGGTGGTTCATTTTCTGAACTAAAGGTAATAGTCTTCAAGGTCCCTGATTTCCCTTTAACATGTTTGGGTTTTTTTTGTTCATCAATAGTCGTTGTTCCCCGTGCTTTCTGTTTCTTTAAATGAAAATTTGGACAATGAACAAAGTTTTTTTGCTATGGATTTCCTGATTTTCTTTGGCCCGAGTTGGGAGGCTGCTTATTCTGTATTGCATTTTCATTTCGATAGTAGGCAAGCCCATTGCTGCTGAAAATAGCTCAAATGTTCTTAGAACAAAAACATCAGTCAGCAGCTCAGACTCTTTCTCTTCTTCTTTTCCAGACTCTTGCATGTGAATTAAATTAATTTCTCAAGAGAAACTTTCATAAAGGGCTAAATCAACAAGGTCTACACATACAGAAATTTCTTACTTCTGCTACATTTGAGACACAACTAAACTCGTCTGTCTGGTAAGCCATACTTTTTTTAAGGATTTATCTTTCTTCCTCCCCTAATGACTTGCATTCTTGAGTTTCTAATTAGTGTTCCGAGAAAACCAGCTTCTGTTTGCTAGTAGTTCTGCTGCATGCTCTGTATCAAGTACAAAGACTAATCTCTTAAGGCATTACTGTGCTGCTTTTTACAAACTTCAAAATAGTACTTTGGTGTAAGTGGGTGTTTAATTGTTTATGTAGTACTTTGGTTTTGGTTTGCTGTAATGAAGGCATTAAATGTTTTAAAACATAAGTGGTGACTGTTCTGTCTTGAAATTATTTATCTGTTTGAATGTTGTGTATTTAATTAACTTAAGAATTTGTATTGTAAAGTATATTCTGTGTCAAGTCAGAGTTTAAAAATAAGCTTTACCAACAATTCATTCATGTCTCATTGCTTGCTAGTTTCATCTTGTGTAGATAAAATAGGTTGATGTTATCTAATACAATGGTTTCTTTTTCTTGGTGATGTGCCTATTTCATAGGACAGTAAGCATACTTGTCAGTAGTCTTTAATTGATTATATAATTCTGTAATGGTTCTGTTAAAGATATTTATGGCTTACCATTTCTTTGGGTTTGATTGTACATCTTGAAACAATATTTTTTCCTTTGATTATAAAATATTAACTGAGTTTGACCCAAACAAAAGAAAGTTTTGTCCTCTACCTTCTATTTTTATTCTTTATTGCAATAAAAATGAAGAAAATCTTGGAAGAGCAAAAGATTTTTTGCTCTATGCTGTGGCTTTTCTAAGCAGTTGGCTAGCATTAGATGGCAGCCTATATATACCTAGTCCATCTGATCACATATGCTGCTATGCTTTGGTTTACCACAATTACTGTGTACTGACACACTGTGTGCCCTGGTTCCTCATAGTTCATTTTGCAGGATTTCCTATAGCCCTAATATCAGATTGTTTCAAAAAATATATTGAAAACCCTATGTAATATTTAAAATTAGTCGAATATTTAATGTAAAACAGTAGTTATACATTATATTTTCATAGAAAAAAAACCCAAACAAAACAGATCAGCAATTTTACATAACAGTTGTTTGGAGACTTTCCAATTCATTTAAGTTTTAGTAAAAAGCTTTCCAGCGTATTTTTGGATAAAAGGAGAAAAACTGAAGTGTATTTATACATTTCATAAAGCATATCTTCTTGTTAAAAAATACAGAAACTTTTGCAAAAAAATCAGGAATTTTCTTTAACAGTTCCTCATAAAACATTAAACCCAAGTCTGGTTCAGTTGCAAAGTTTGCCATAATGTTTTATTCTGATATTTGAGAGTATTGATATCTGCTACTGTAATGTAGGTATCCACTTGGAACAATGGGAATTTCAGTACCAGGAATACTTTATTTCAAAAGAGATAGTTTCTGTTCTTCTTCCCCTCTCATTTTTTTATTGAAATTGTATTCCTCTTGGTTTAAGATCATTCCTAGTCTTGTCTTACTGTCCCATATAAAGCTGCTTCCCGAGTCCTGTAGGTCAGTCACCCTATCTGTCCTAAGTTCTTTTGACCACAGTTTAGAGAATACTTGTCTTATATTGATGAATTTGTCACCTGAAAATTACTTCCCTAAAACCTGAAGCTTCTGAAGGAACTTAAGTCATTTCAGAACAATTTAGAAATCTGTGATCCCTTAACATGTCCAAAAACATAACTGGAGGAGAAATTGCACATGATTAGGCTGCATAATAGACAAAAATATGTACCAAGTATTTTCAATTAAAAATAATGCTTGAACTGTTTAAAGTAAGGGCCAATAATGGTCTGTTAGTGATCATATTTTAATTCTCCTAACATTGAAGTTACTATATACCTGGCACTTAATTTTTGACTGAGTAACAGAGCTGACTAACAGGAACTTGTATCCGGCATGCTAACACAACCCAATCTTTAACTGAGTGAACTTGGCACAAAATTCAGCTAAAGGGAGGAAATCTCAGGAGAGAAGTGGAATTTCTTTCATTGAGTAAGTATACCTCAGCATTCATGGGGAACAAATGGTAACATTTTGTGCAGTTTTCTGCTTTTGACAGTGTGTCTTTGTTCACTTCCCAAAAGGGGGGTGTCAGTTACACTGAAAAAAATAAACTTCTGTATTTGGATTTTTCATTTTACTTAATGATATGGTCCCAAGGAACCTATTAAATTTGAGACTGCCTAACACTGTTGGTTTTAATTCTTTGTGTGTGAAGAAAAAAGGCTCAATTAGAACAATTTTCGTTACATAAATGTATTCCTCATTACTGTCTTTGTGAGCTCAAATAGAGGGGTGGGAGGCAAGTGTATCTATAAGCATTTTATGATAGAATTTCATTGAAGCGTCTCAGAAAATGTTTTCTTCTTGCCAGTATAAGTGTTTTCCAACACTATTACTGAACTGTTACCTTAGGAAACAAAAGATCATGATAGCTTAGATACCCTGACAAAAGCTTTGTGCTTAGAAAGACCTTAAATCAATATGTGGTTTAGTCACAACGTGTCAATGTGGCTTCCACTGTGTGGTCTTCAGTTCACTTATTGATGACAATGGGGTTTTATGGTGACTGTATAGGATATTGATCTTTGATCTGAGTGTATCAGCAGATCATAATATTATGTTGAAACTGCATGGGTTTAGTATGTGACAATGCTGGAGCAGAAAAAGGTGTTTTGAAAACTGGAAAGGAAGACCTGCTGATAGAGGAAGTCAATCTGAGTAAAAGGCCATCATGCAGTCACCTCTTTCTTACGTTAATCTCAGATTTGGGAATATACCAGATTGGAGATGCTTGAGAGTATGTGCATTCATATGTGAGACCTGTGAGTTGTGTCTGCACTGGACTTACCTGGCCATGTGACATTCTCAGATGGCAATAGATAGCTCTGGAAAAGTTTGTGCTGTGATTCTGTATGTAACTAGCTGCTTTAGAGGTATAGAATTTTTATGACCTTGTGATTATCTTCTGTCTCCAGTAATGCAAGATGGCAATGCATCTTTGTTGGCTCTGGAGCTTAGGCTGTGCTTAACCTTTTGATATATCGAAATGAAATAGGAACTGGCAGGATTCCGAGGTTCTCACAGTAGCCTCTGCTCATCATCATTATTCTGTGGTTTGGGGGAAGAGAGTAAAATTAATTAGTTAATTAATATTCAAATACAGCAATGAGCATCTTTTGTCAGAATTGATAATTTTAAATATATTGTCGAAGCTGCTGGTTGCTTAACCTTTCTAAAATACTCAGTGTCTTTTAGATAAAAACCCCAGTCTTTTAGATGAACATTTTTCAGATTCTGCAACTTTGAAATCATTCCTTTTCCATCAAAAAAAAAAAAAAAGGAAAAGTTCATAGTCAAAAGCAATATTTTTTGCATATGAAACAATGAATAGTTTAATTTTCACTTCTCCCTCGAGCTTTGTTACATTTGAGTCTAACTTGTGTTAAGTCAAGTTTGAAAAATACTGATTTGGTAATAAAGTTGCATGATATATGATAGAGAATTTCCCTGCTTGGCCACAGAACCACAGAATGGGTAAGGTTGGAAGGAAGCACAGTGAGGTCATCTGGTCCAACCTCTCCCCACCTGTGTGCTTGTACTTTAAGGACCAAAGCGTGCTTTTAAGCACTCTCTCGTTCTCAGTAATCTAATAGGTATGCTTTAATCTGTTTTCAGGTTGGCTCACGTAAGGCATTATGAGTTTATGTATGTAAGACTGCATTTATCTCCATAGTATTAGTGTCTTGAGAATTGGTGTGTTTCCTTAGTGGCTTATGTCCCTAAATATTTAATGCAATTTAGAAGGCTGTGTCATCTTTACTGCTGGACATAACTTGGGCACCTAGGTTGCTTCCATACTTGAGACTGCTAGTGACTTGTTCCCCAGAAAGGTTCCCTATAACAAAGTCGTTTAATACAAATGCATTTAGAAAGGAACTATCCTGGTGCAAATGAGACTCTTAACATGACTATCTTCCCTAGTCTCTGCAGAAACAAGTGACAAATGTAGTAGCGGCTCCATCCTTTGAAGCTGAAAGTCCAAACAAGTTCCTCTGTGCAAGTAGGCTCTCAACTTTGCAGGTGCACCATGGGGCACCTGTATAGGATTCACTTACTTGTGTGATTCATCTTGATAGATCTAAGTGAGCTAAGAGATGAGGTGCAGCTGGATGCGGTAGAGAACTGTATCTGTGACCCTGAATCTGTAACAGGTCTCTGAACCTTCTGGAAAGCAGTGGATTTCTTCTCCAAAGTCAAAGAAAATTGAAATAAGAACAGCAGAGAGAAACATTTAATAGATCTAATAATATGCTGTTGTCTTATTTGCTTCCTGTGAGGGAAGGGAGCAGAGGAGGTGAGAGTGGGAAGGTAAGCTATGTTGCTCATGTAAAGGGACAGTTGATCTGGAGAGCCAGTTCCTCTGTCTTGGTAACACTTAGTCTTTCAGTACAGTTGAGTTCTGACCAGTGAAAGGAATTTTTCAAGAGTTTTCCTAGCCTTCAATGTACAGAATTAGCTAGTTAATCTTTCCACAGTGATGATTAGCCAAATAAAGGCACTTGAAACTTGCTCTCAGAGGTCCATTGAATCTCCAAACGTGTAAAATCACCTTCTGGCTCCCACTTTCCCTCTGTATCCTGCACAGAGCCTTCCAGTGCTGAAAAGGGAAGCTGATTATTTTTGGGATGTTAGAGCTCAGGCCCAAAGTAACAGTTTAAAAGTGAGACTAAAACTTCTGTAAGTCTTCGTAAAAACGAGGCTGTGAAATGTGAGTGCGCATTAAACAAAAAACTTAGTTTCTGTGGCTTAAAGTCTGGGGACATTGTAATTTACTGAAAGACACTGCTTTTTCCTGTGACAAAAACAGTGATTAAAAATGACGTCTGGAAGCAGAATTTAGATAGTACTGAAAGCTTTTGACAGATCTTCCTTAAAGTATGTTCTGACTGTATCTATAGGCATGTTTCTAGAAAGCCTACCTGT